TTATAAGAATAACTAACGGAAATTTCTTCATAAAACTGCAGAACAGATATGATGACGTAGTCAAAAGAATGAGTCAAGATATAAAATTTATAAAAAAAACTTTTGTCTACGCGGACAAAAAGCTATTAGTACTGTGGTCATGGGCCTTGTTGCTGCATCACCCTGTTAATGTCGTTTTAGTTTTTTATGATGGGAATCAGCAAAGACTTTCGACAGAAAAATGATAAGATTTTGAATTCGGTTATCAAACCATTGCATGCGTGATTGCGCGAAAATTTTCGTATTCGATAGCTAGGCAGAGTTTTAGATTTCACCTCCCAGGATTAAAAGTGTAAGATGTAGTACCCGTTGTCTTTAGAAAGAATATTATGCCTATTTTTTCTAGGCCAACTCTTGCATAAATTGAAATTTTCATTTGTTTGGAACGACTTGGAAAGAACTTTGTGTAAATACTTTCCCCGAATGTAACAAATTAAAAATTTTGAGTTAACTTGAAATAAACGGTTATTCAATAAACAAAGTTTGTTGAAATAAAATTTTGACAAAGACCAAAGTCAACTCTTTTGCTTATATGAGTTCTTATCGCAATCTGCCTACAATTAAATTATTAAATTTTTTAGATTTAGATTTGAAATATTTTTATTTTCAATTCAATTATTTTAAGACTATAGTACAAAATTATGCAATCAATAAAAAGCCCAGAATATATATTTCACTGCACAGTTATATAAATACATAATTTATGCCAATAATAATAACAATGAATTTAATGTTTCATATTGCAATATGATAGTATTGTTTGTATTTAAAGTACTTATGGCATAATTTTCGGTGCACTTATTTGAATGTGACATTCACTAATGCACTTTATTACAAAACGGGTGAGATTTTTCACAAATTTTAATAATGTTCGAAGAATTTTTGCTGTGGATACATCTGCATTATAAGGTAACTCAATAAACTTAATATATTTGCTTTTGCACAAAGTTGTGAGAAAAATCTTAGACCCTGCTTTCATTACGATTTTTTATCGCTTAACCCTTTAAGACTGGGACGCAAAATAAGACGTATTATATTAGCGCTATGAGTCCACATTTGAATTAAAATAAAAGTATATGTGTTTGGTTGATAGCAAAACAAGAAGAAAGTTCGTTAACTTTTCCTTAAATTTTACTTTTACATTGATAATTTTATATGTATTTGTACATATGTATGTATGTAAATAAAATGGAACTAATTATACGTATTTATACTATTAAAAATTATGTCGTCAAGTTTTTTTTGTTTTGCTAAAATTGCCGTCCTTATATTATCCCCGATTCGTTAAATTTTTTCAAAGATTTATTACATATTTTGCGCTACTTCTTGTAGTGAAATGTTGAAAAGGTGTAACCAAAAAATAAACAGCTTTTCAAAAAGAACTCCACAAACTTACATGAATATGTAAATGTTACTGAGTTACATTAATAAATGATTTAAATGGCATTTTTACATGTTCAGGATATATTTTTCATATCAGAAATCGATTTGGTGTAATAATAATCAAAGTCAACAAAACATTATAGCCTCTAGAATGGTTTCCGCCCGCATTCAAAACTACCGATTTATTTTTTTTCTTAATGTTCTTTTGCCTTCTACATTATTATGATGAAGTTATTAAATTTGACTAATTTTGTCAAAAAACACATAAAGGAAATGTTGATATAGCCGTTTTTGTATTTTTGTTATTGTAAATGTTTGCTGTTTATTTTACCTCTTCAGTTTGTTTACTTATACATAATATATGTATATATGTATATATAAATTTGTCTGTATATATATTTCTTCGTGTGAGTAACATAAATATGAGTATCAGTTAATAAATATGTACATAGGGTATGCTATATGACACTATACAGTTAGGTATCAGTATATTATTGAATTTGTTTATTTCTTTTTGATATAAGAACTGTATTAAATTTTGTTAATCATTGTGATAGAAAGTTAAAGCGTTAAAAAAATTATAATAAGATGCTTTTATACTTGCATATGTGTGAAAGTATGTTCGTGCTTCATAAGAAATAATATTGATATATCTATCAAGTGTATTTTAGTTGAATTGCTGTCAAATTTATTATACATGAAATTGGATTGCAAAAAAATACTAAATAATTAAAGCAAAACCATATAAGATTTCTGAATACTATTAGATCTAAGATTAAGTGACTCATTGTTCATAAATATGATTGCAAAACAAAATAGTTTTAATTTAAAGATTACACTTAAAGTGAAGCACAGCTACTTAAAAAATAATAGATTTATCCAATAATCTGTCAGTTACTTTCTATAAAATATGGTACATAAGTTCTAGATTCTAATTTGACCTTAGATGTATATTGCATTTTTGATCTATACTTGATCTATATAGACCTCTGGTCTGACCGTTTGCAGGTCAATACTGTTTTCAGTAGATCTCATTAAGATCGCTTAAAGTTTTCTTAGAAATTACCATATAATGTAAAATTAACCTCTGAAAAAATCCGATTCTAATTCTAAGAAAAAGCAATGGATCCCAAAAAGGTGCATTGCTAAGAATATTCATTCCAATTCCAATTAAAAATTAAAAGATTATTTGCGGTAACAAATTTTCCAAAGCTCAAAATTGTTCGGAATCAATAATTTCTAAAGCAACTTATACCTATCAAGAGCATTTTACATCTAGACCATTTACTTCTAGAGCAACTTATATCAAGACAATTTTCTTTCGAAATGTCTTTCATATGTGAACAAATCGTTCTATATGTGATTGATGTGACATATGCATACTACTGCATGTATGCATACATATATATTATGTAATATATATACATAATATATACATATAGAGTAGTATATGTATATATTATAAAGAAAATAAAAAAACATAGTAAATTTTTAATTTTGAAAGTTAACTGAATTTAACTATTACGCCTTGTAAAAATCATTGTATATAAAAAAACAACTTAAAGATTGGTCTCCCAGATGCAGCAATTAGCTTTTCATCTTTTATAATGTGAGTAGAATATAAATTAATTTTAAAAATTTCAATAGTTAATTTGAAAAAAAAATGTTTCAGTCTCTCAAAAAGGTTTTGCAGGTTTTACTACATAATTAAAACTTTGTTTTTCAGTTTCTATAATTCATCATTGATAAATTTTAGGCTTCGCTTAAGACGATAGAATAAAGTTTAAGTTCACAATGAAATTTTGCGAGTTTTCATAGAAATAATTTATAGCACATTCATGGAACAATCTTAATTGTGTTGATAAGATAAACTATATAATATGAGGGTAATTTTCCCATTTTTTTATAATATTAATAATTTTAATTCTTGCAATATCGGAACTCTATTATCTTTAGGATGAAATTATTTTATTGTGTTGTTTCCACTATTTAATTTTATTTTCCCAAAATACAAGTTTATCATGGAAAAATATTTCATGCACATATAAGAATATATTATATAACGTATATGAATATATAAATATATTATATGTATGCAGTAAGATATGTACAAATGTTTGCTTGAATTATATTGTGTTATATATCTTTTATATAATATTTACCATAAAATGCTTTCACATTCTCAATGTCACATAATTATAGCATGATTTTGTTATTGTTTTCGGGGTATTTATAAGTTATATTCCCAAATATCTTAGGTAAAATAACAGGCATTGTGATACATTAATTTCGAATATAAAAAATTTTTTTTTGTTTTGTTGTCATTTTTTGGTATAGATTCAAAACGTATTCACATAAAAAAGAAAAAAATAAAAAGCAGTTAGTTATCTCAGCCACTTTTTCATATTTCTCTTTTTTGCCGTTGGCTATTCATTCTTACTAAAAAAAAGGATATACGCTGTACAGCTTTTCTGAAAGTAGAGAAAAAAAGGAATGAAAATATGATTTTTCTTGTTTTTAGAAAGTTTTTTGTAAATTTTTTATTATCTACTGTCTTTTTTTGTTCTGTTTTTTTTTTATTTTTTTTCTTTTGATACTCTGATATGATATCTAAGCAACAAAATACAAAAAAAAATTGTACATTTTATTTTTTAGATAAAATATGATTTTTGAAATTTCATTTTTTTTACTTTTTGTAAATTTTCGGGTAATAAAAAAGAACCAAAAATTAAGTGCGTGAGAAAAAAAGAGATGCACACATAACAAGGAGAATAATAAAAGATTTACGTAATTTCCTTTTTTTTTATTTTTACATTCGCAATCGTGTAAATGACGGCAGCAAAACGAAGTAATTTACCTAGTAAACCGCTTTATAATCGTGCTTAATTTTTTATCTTACTTTATATTCCCGTTTTATGCAAAATAAAGAAAGTACCAAAAACAAAAAAAACAGCAGTTTTTTATAAATTGCTTTATACATATGTGAATATTTAAATATATAATGTGTGTATACATTATTTAATTCGCTGATTTATAATTCAATATGGAACGATAGTGATAACAGCGTCAAGTTAAATTTTTTTTTTATTTTTATATATTTTAAATGTTTAATGTGTGAGCTTAAAATAATGTTTTTTTTTAATCGCAATTTTTTACTGGATATTGTAATATGTTTTATATGGATTTATTTAAAAGATTTATGTATATTTAAAAAAAACGACAAAAAAATAAAAAAAAGTTAAAAATAGCGTACTCCACATTTTATTTTTTTTTGTTCAAAAATATTTTTTGCATATTATAATAGATAATCCATTTTTTTCTTTGTAATGTAGTTTTTGCATTAATTCTTTTTTTTCATAAAATATATACATATGTATATGCATGATTTGAGATTTACAAATATTAAAAATTTAAATTTAAATTATTCATATATATTTTTAATTGAAAATGTTTTGTGTGTTTGCATTTTATTTCCGTTATTTACAATAAAAATAATTAATTAAATGTTAATGACAATAATGAATTTTATTTTATTGGATTTAATAATAATTATTATTTTTTCTCTTCTTTTTTTACAGGTAAGTTTCAAATTGCAACACTTTTTATATAATAAACTCTCATATAAAAGTAAGTTTTTTTTTAATTTAAAATATTTAATATATAAAATATGTAAACTTTTTTAATTCAAAACACATATTATTTATATTTTGTAAATTTTATATTTGATTGTTTTCTACTTAAAAATAGTCTTAATGCTATTTTATCATTATTTATGAAAATAAAAATTCAAATAGAATAAGAAGTAGCTCATTTACAATTGCTTTATGCGTGCAGTTAAAAATAAGAATTTAAGTCAAATTGTATATCTATATGGTTCTTTTAGTTTTCAAATGAGCAGATAAAATGTATGGATATATTGTGAGATACAATGTAGCCCTCACTATAAGTTGTAATTAAATTTAAATCTAATTTCTCAATTAAACATTCAATATAGCTTTCACAAACTTCATTTCATAAATACTTTCTATAACATTTTATTTGTTATTTAAATATTTAGATATTTTCACGATCTACGGTTCAAATATTTTAAATTCATTAATATTGATTTACGGTTCAAATATTTTAAATTCCATTTTGAAATAGGAAAACTATTGTTGAAACGCAAAAAAAAATTTCAATTCTAATTTAAACAAAACTTATTAAATAAAGTTTTGAACTTACAGATAAAAAATTTTTAATATAATGTCAGCGCAATCATATTTTACAAGCACATACGTTATAGTTTGAGTTTAATATTAAATTTAAGAAGAAATTACGCTTCATATATTCTCAAAAATTGTCTGCGAATCCTATTTACTAAAGATAACTTAATTTAATTAAATTTAATGAAATTAACTCCGCATGACCAAACTTTTTTGACATTCTTTAGTGAGCTTTTGATTCTTGAGTCCCTTTTTTTTGTAGAAATCCTAAATATTAACAGAAATAATGGAAACCGTAAACAAAAAAACCTTAAACTTTTGAAACTCAAAAATGTAGTTGGTAAGCCTAAGAAAACGGAAGAAAAAAAGAACTGAGCTCACATATATTTCTACAACCTTTGTGTAAAAAGTAATTGCAAGTAATTGCAAATGTCAAGGGAGTTTCTACGGAGTCCATTCAGTAATGTAATAACAAAACCTAGAAAGATATTATGAATAGGAATAAAATTCTATACTTTTCAGAAATAAATACAACACAACTAAAAATTTGTACATTCATATTTGTATATTCATTGTAAAGTCATTGTAGGGTTAAAAACTGAAATTAAAAACAAGCAAGAATAAAAAGCGAAAACTATATTTTCACAAATTCATATACAAAAATTAGCTATTAAAAGAAAAAATTCATTGGCAAAAGTTTAATGAACAAAACTGAATTGGCATTAAATGAAAATGTTTTTTGTTTTATACAGTACTTGTACTTATACATATATAAGTTCATATACTAGTATTTGTACAAATTTAAAATAAGTTAAAAAAAATAAATATATAATTTCAAATAAATAAAAATTAAAAAGAAAATTATACAAAATCTATAAATATAAAGATTACAAAAGAATTGCACTAAAAGAAAAAGAAAATAAGAAAAGGATGCAGATATTATAGAAAAATAATGTACAAGAAGCAAAAAAAACTGCACAGAATATTTAGATCCTTTTAAATTGTCATTAAAAATTATCAAAAGGAAACTTTTAAACCAAAAAAGAATAAATAATGCCCGTCTTTTGAAATATTATTGAATTTTATTTATTTAATTTTTCTTCGGATTTTCTATTTAAATTTTTACATAATTTTGAATTTTATTATTTTTCTTTTTCATGTACATACATTATAATAATAATAATATGTGCTATAATACTTTCCATTTATTATATATAGAATACTACTTGCAGATCTATATTCATACTTTTATTCAACATACACAAAATATTCACATAGGATTCATGCAATATTGTTGTGACTTTAAATAAGTTTTTTTTTTTTGTTGGGAAGGAATTCCTTAAATTTCTGTTCAATTGAATAGAATATAAAAAGAAAGAACATAATAAGAAGGAGTAAAGTGGTGGGATATTCCATAAAGTCATGAAATGTTTTTCGATGCCAAATTGCTTAAGTTTTAATGTTAGATAGATAATATATGAGTCTTTGGGCTTTTAAAATTATTATAATTTTTTTTCTTGGATTTTTTTCTTCTTCAGTAAAAAAACTATAACTCAAAATATATATATACTTTTAAGTATAATAGTAAGAGTACAATTAGAAATGAATAACTTAAAAACATTTCGAATGTTCGAAATTGTTTTGTTAATAGGCAAACTATTTACTTGAATTTGAAAAATATTTATTTTATTTGATTTTCAAATTAAAACGTGTGTAAATTTGAAACCATTATGTATATTAAAGTATGAATTTGCAGTTTTTACAGTTATACCAATCTTATTATTTGAGCATCGTACTAACATAAAATAATTAAGTAAAAACTTTTTAAGTTCAAATTAATTTTAAAAAACAAATAACGAATCAAATCGTATTCAAAACGAAATGGAAATTTAGAAACTTTAATTGACAAAAAGAAAATTTGTAAAAAATCTGCAATATTACAAAGTATTTCTTAAACATTAACGGCTTCAGTATTTTTACACACTCTTATACGAAGTGACTCATTTCCTACCTTTTCCGAATTAAGGACAAATTTGAAATCCAAAAAATAATACTTATTGGTGCAACTTATTAATCCTCAATTTACGAGCCTGAATTTATTAACACCTTAATTTTATAAGAAGAGCATAGCATTATAACACATGCGGATATTGCTTTTATAATTGTGCCGGTATATAAATTTTATTGTCCAAATGTATGTACCATTACATTGAGATTGATGTATTGATTTACTTAAATTGATTGTAAATAAATATACGTATGTATAGCTAATTTCTGATTCTGTCTATGAAAAAAAATTATTTCTGCTAATTTCGTTTATTATCAGCTCTAAAACGCTTTTCATAAATTTAACTTTTAAATTTAAGTGTATTAAATTATAAATTTATAATAATGTTGTTAAAAAAATTTTTCGTAAAAATAAAAGTATTTCTTAGGAATAATTAAGATAATTTTTAATGAATTTTAGATTTAATATCAAAAAAAAATTAAATAAACAGCCCTCTTAAAATAAACTCTTGCTTGTTTAGCGTTCTGTGCAGTTTCAAAAAATTTCTCCTCTTATTATATATTATTTCTATACACTAAAAAAGCCTTTTCTTGCTTTTCAAATTGGAAATAATATTCCCAGTTTAAGTTATACTTTGAAATATTGTAACAAAGGTTTAAGTCACCAGCGAATTCAATTATACGAGTAGTTTTAGGAAAATTTAATGTTAGTTTATTGCATATACGTAAGAATGTTTTATATAATGTCTAAAAGGGCGCTAGGTGTACGGAAAAAAAAATTTAAGGAATGTAAATTATTATGTACGTTTGGATGTTGCAAGAGAGCCATACATGTTAGCTAATACGTGCTTCTATAATTGATGACAGCCCGGACAGAAATTTTAAGGCTATCTGCGTTACTATAAAATAATTACTATACGACATTATTTCTAAGTTATTTTTTGTTATAATTGTTAATATGGTTTGATGCCAACATATTTCAAATATGTATGAATTTTATAGAACAATATAGAAAAAGATAAACGAATTGAGTATTTCTGGTATAATTTTGATATAATGCGCAGAATTATACAACAATTTGATACTTAAGACTTATGTTAAAATTGTTAATTTGTGAAGTAAATAGTTGTTAATTGCCTAAAATAAGTAAATAGGTGTAACAAAATTAAATATTTAAAAAAAAAAAAAGTTAATTAAAATTGATTTCATTTTTAATAAAATGTACAAAAAATTATAATAATTACTTTGTTTTTTAAGTTATTATCTGTTTTATAACACAACCGAAGTTTTCAACCGCTGAATGCAATTGCATATTTTGCGTGTATAATAGGTTTCGTCTTGCCAACAGATCAAAGTAGTAGTTACAAAATAATAAAAACCATTAATTTTAAAAGTATGAAATTTCTTTCCATTAATCTGCCATAAACTAAACTATAAAATCGGTTAAATATATTTTGGTTTCAATATATCTTTCTCTCCTGTTATAGAAGTACTACAACTTTATATATAGTTTTTTTTTCAATTTTATGTGAGTTTTATTGTTCCAAGAAACTATATATTGAACATATTAGTTAATTTAAAATTACACATATTACTAATGACAACGAAAAATTTATCAAATAAAAAAGCATATAAATTCTAAATTGTCGTTTTATGTAAAGAGGTGTTTACCATTCCAATTTATTTTCGTACATATGTACGGTGGTATTCATGTTTCTTTTAAAATATATCTTGTACGTGCTCAAAGTTCAATTCAGAAGTATTAAATGTCAATGACAATTGAAATTCAAAAATACCATTAAAAATATTGTAGATATTTGAAATCTGGATCGAGACATATGAGCTATGTGTATCGGAGGCATGAAAAAAGTGTACATAATTTTTGGTTTTTCATTTCGTCTCCTTTCGTTTCCTTTTTATAAATACATAAAAACATTCATTTTCTATAGATATTTAGATATATAAAAATAATTTCAAACAGCAAATCATTGAAAATACAAAATTTTTTTTATTTGGTTTCGGGTAATTTTATCTTTTGAGTAATGGCGTTCACTTGGCATTTTTTTTTACCAAAACGTACATTATAGGCAAAACTTTTCCTAAATGGGGTATACGAAAACATGGTTTCTGTACTTAGAAATATTCCTCGAATTTTTTAATTTTTTTTCTGTTTTATGTAATATAATATTATGCACATGTATTTAAAGGATGAGTTATGGCGTTGTCTTATGTTTAATTATATTTGAGATGTTTTAATTTGCCGAGCAACTGAAACATGTAGTGGTTATATTTTAATATACAAATGGTTCTTGTACGCGGGAAAATTTTTATTTTATATGTTCCACTCTTGAAAAATTAGTATTAATGTTTATCAAAATATTTAGTTATTACTTTAATGTTCCTCGTTAAGAAAGCAAGAAGAAAATTACAAATTTTTTTTGTATTCTTTTCTTTTAATGCAAAAGGAAGAGCAACACTCAATGTCAAGAAATTTTTAATATTATCTTCCTACACATTTGTTGTTATGCATGGTGATTTCAAGATAAAATTGGGTAAAAAGTGTAGAAAAATAAAAAAAAGTGTTTTTAGATCTATGTGGAATATATTTTATACATTTGGTATAAGAAAAACAATAAATCTATTTGTCATTATGATTTACTTTCCAAAAACTCAAGGGAGTGATAAAAAAATGTTTCCTTTATACATATATATAATTTTTTGTATCTATAGTTTATCTAAAACGCTCCCTCCCTCATCTAGATTGTTAGTAGAATATTTTATTACCTTCCCCTCACCGATTTACCTCAAATATTTTTGTATAGAAAATGTTTCTGTTTTTAATTTTTCTTTGTAATTTATTTTGTTATATAAAAGTATTTCCAAAAAGAAAAAGGATATATGTACATGAGTATTCATTTTCAAAATATTTCTTTAATAAATTTTGTGAAATAAAGGAATATTGTGAGAAATGTATGGCGTTTAAATAAAAACACAACATTAAATGAATATATAAAAATTATATGACATGTATATACATACGAATATATACATATGTATATAAATAGTTGTATAATAATTATTAAGTTTATTGTAATTATATTTTATAAAGAATAAGTAAACAATTTACTTCTTAAAGGTAATGGGTATGTTATTCATAAATATTGGGGGTTTTTATTTATAAATTTTTCAAAAACATATTTGTCATTCAGAAAGTCTGTCATTTAAACTTTGTTAATATTGGTTCGAAATTTTTAAAGTAAGCTTATTACCAATAACTTACTACATACCCCTATGTACATACAAAAAAAGAATTATATTATATTTCATGAAAAGAATAATAAATTATTTCCTTTTCTTTAGTTAAAATAGCCACAAAATTATAAGTTCCTTTTTCAAAAAGTAAGAAACTAGAACAATGTTTTTAAAAAGCTTCAAATAAAAAACGAAATTGAAAATTGATTAATAATTTTCAATAAATTTTTTTCGAATTTAATAAAGTTCGCAATATCTTCCAAATTATTAATTTAAAACAAATTTGTTAATAAGTTATGAAATTTGATATATGAAATCAATAATTATTATCTGATATTCACATTTTTATGATTATATATGCATTAGCAATATAATCATAAAAATGGGAGTTTATTCTGAGCAATTAGATGTTGAGCTCTCATTCCGTCTGCCGGATCACTGTAGTATATTTCAGGCCGAGGTGGCTTCAATTGGGGAGGTTCTGCGCTGGCATGGGTGCAATGTCGTATCGGCTGGTGGCGTCAGTATTTTCACTGACAGACACCGGGACTGCAGGTCGTCCCTCAACGAAATGGCGGGGCAGTTCGAAAGTAACTTGGTCTGGGTTCCGGGTAACTGCAAGGCGGACGAGCTTGCGAGGTATGGGACTGCTCTGAAGATTCCACCTGAAAAGGAGAACTTGGGCATACATTTAAAAACGCTGGGGCTGCTGCTGCGCAACGCGGCAATGTAGCGCACCAACCTTAGATGGGCTAATGGAGTAGCGTGTAACGCGACAAGGAATTTGTGGCCAAAGCTGGATTTACGTCGCACAAAGGATCTGATCTCTCTCAGAAGGGAGGATATCAGTGCTGTGGTAGGGGTACTGAGGGGCCATTGATCGGCGAACATGCAAGGAGAATGGGCCGCCCCGCAAACGATCTTTGTAGGAGTTGCTGCGACGAGGGGGAGGAGGAAACGGTGACCCACCTTCTATGCTCATGTCCTGCACTGGCGAGCTCCAGGCAGAGATTCCTTGGGTCTTACTTCTTCGGACACGCTACGGACTTGGCGGATGTAAGCGTTAGGAATTTGAACCGATTTTTAAAGGGTTCAGGCTGTTTCAGATGAGGAGCGGGAGAGAAGAGATCCGGCGGTACCACAACGGGCCTAGTTGGCCTATGTGTACCCTTCGGGGAGCCGCGACAACCTTACCTATGCATTAGCAATTACAGCAACATAAGTATTAAAACCTAAGATGCCCAATATCAAATCCGCAACCTTAAAGATAATATGAAATAAATCACAATATTTTAAAAAAAAAATAAATTTTTACTGGTGGTTTTGATAAATGCGAAAAAGGACGTATGGTAAATACCCATCTGCCGGTTTGTTTTTGTGTTGGGGGTTCATTTTCAGAAAATGAATTTTTTTCCTGAAATTAAGCGCTTTTTCCTAACAAGTAAATTTTACGTATAGGCATTATTTAAAAAAAAATGTTTGTTAAGCCTTGTGTTAGCATAAAAGAAATAGTTTCATAGTTGAAACTGCTTTTATTATTGGTTTATTTTATTTTACAATAATTCGTAAAATAAATAATAAAACGTCCTTCATATATGGTATTTGTCCTTTTTTAACTCGAAATGACTAATTTGACATAATAACACAAAAAGCCATCAACTAAACTTAAAATTAGATTTTTAGGAGTTTCAAAATATTGAAAGAATATAAAATGTGACGCGTTGACTTCTGACAATAATGTTTGAAAGAAAATGAGCAAATAGGTACATTTATTTAAGTTTTCTAAGTTCGGTTTGAGGACAAGTTATTATGTAATATGTTCCAGGAAAAATCCTCAAATTAAAGTAGGATTCATTTTATTTGAAAGTTTGTTTTTATATGTTTTTTTTTTTTTTTTTTTTTTTCCTTACTCCTCTTGGGAGCATAGGGCTTCCACTTGACATCTCCATCTCGTTCGATTCTTTGCTGTCTGCTTGATTTGACCCCATGTTAGACCTGATTTTGTTAGTTCTGATTTTATGGATCTGCGCCAAGTGTTTCTGGGGCGCCCGGGTCTTCTCGAACCTTGTGGGTTCCACTCCAAGCTCATCCTGGCGATGTTATTGGCGGGTTTTCTTAGAGTGTGCCCAATCCATCTCCACCTTCTTCTACTAATTTGCCTACCGATAGGTTCTTCGCCTGTTATTATCCAGAGGTCTTCGTTGCTTATCCAATTTGGCCAGAATATTCGGCATATTATTCTGAGGCATTTGTTGATAAATACCTGCAATTTTTGGCCGAGGGACCTTGAAGTTAGCCAGGTCTCGCTGCCGTACAATAGGACCGATTTTACACAGGCCCTGAATATTCTCAGCTTGGTTGTCCTGGATATCTGGCTGCTTCTCCATATCGGTTGCAGTCTGCCGAATGCTGCTCTTGCCTTCTTCAGTCTGTTGTCTATATCTTCTTGGGCCCCGCCCCCATGTGTTATGATGCTGCCCAAGTAGCAGAAGCTGTTGACGAACTCTATTGGTTGGTTGTTGAGTTCCAGACTGGCCGTGCTAGTAGTGTTTATTTTCATCGCCTTGGTTTTGTCGATGTTTATTTCTAAACCCACACGTCTGGCAAGTTGTTCAAGATGTTTTAATTTGCTCTGCATGTCACTGATTTTGTGGGAGAGAAGGCAGATGTCATCCGCATAATCCAGATCTTCTAGGTGTTGAGTCAGATTCCAGATTATACCCCTTCTTTGTGAGCAGGCGACTTGTAGGATGTTGTCCAGCACGATTGTGAAGAGCATCGGCGACAGCGGGCAACCCTGCTTGACTCCTGATTGGGTGGTGAAAGACTCGCTTATTTTTCCTCGGTGTAGTACTGCGAGCTCGGCTTCTGCGTACAGCGCTTGGATCAGGCGGATAATTTTGTCTGGGGTTCCCCTGTCTTTGAGTGCTTTCCATATCGCATCGCGCCTGATTGTGTCGAAAGCCTTCTTGAAGTCCACGAAGAGCATGTATAGTGGTGTTCTGTATTCTATTGATTGCTCGACTATTATTCGGAGTGTGTTTGCTTGATCGACACAACTCCGATGCGGTCGGAACCCAGCCTGTTCTTCACGTATTGTATTTTCTAGTTTCTCTCTTAAGCGATTCTGGATAATTGTTGCCAAGACCTTGTATGATATGTTCAGTAGTGTAATGCCTCTCCAATTATCGCAGTGAGTCAAGTTGCCCTTCTTTGGTAGCTTGATGATTAGGCCCTTCTTCCATGACTGCGCAACACTTTCTTCACTCCAAGCTCGGGATATATGTGGTTCTAGCAGCTGGGCCGTAGTTAGTGCGTCCGCCTGAAGAAGTTCCGCTGTTATACCATCACTCCCTGCGGCCCTGTTATGTTTAAGTGCTCGTATGGCTGTCTTTATTTCACCGATGCTTGGGGGATCTTCAGAAATTCTTAAGTTTGCTTGTCTTCTGATTGGGTTGCTGTCATGTGTTTCTTCGCTGGATGAATATGTTATGTTGCTAATGGATTCGAAATGTTGTTTCCATACTTCCAGCTGGGCCTCCTCATTTGTCACTAGGTTGCCATTTCGGTCTCTGACAGGGCGTGTTGTGTTTTCTTTTTGCCCGGTAAGGTTGCCAATTATTCGGTGCAAGCTGCGCATGTTGTTCTGGTTGGCGTGCTGCTCCGCTTGGGACGCCATCTGCTCAAGGTATCTTCGTTTGTCCCTTCTAGCGGCCTTCTTAACTTGCTTTGCTAAGCTCTGATATTGTGGAGATCTGTTATTGTTTTCAGTGGTCGCTAGTTGCTTAGCATTTCTCCTTTTGTTGATGAGGTCCCAAGTCTCGTCAGAGATCCATTTTTTTCGTTGGCCCTGTTCTCTACCCAGTGTTTCTTCGGCAGTTTCTTGAATCTTCGTCACAATTTCTTCCCATGGGTGCTCCTGGTCAAGCGGCAGCCTTTCCCGCAGTCTACTGGCATATCTGTTAGCAGTTTGGGGGTTCTGGAGCTTCTGTGTGTTGTAGCGCTTGTTTCTGGTGTTATGTTGCCTTTTCCTTTCCATTTTTAGTCTGATATCGCCTGTCAGCAGTTCGTGGTCGGTGTCTATATCTGCTCCTCTTCTATTTTTCACATCCATCATGAATTTCCTCCATCTTCTGCTGATACATATGTGGTCAATTTGGTTTCTTGTTTTGCCATTTGGCGAGGACCATGTATATTTATGTATGTCTTTGTGGGGGAAGATGGTACCACAGATGCTAAGTTCGAAGGTCTGGCAAAGTTCTATCAGTCTTTCTCCATTGTTGTTTCTACGCCCTATGCCGTGTGTTCCCATAATTTTTTGTAGACCGCTGTTGTCGCTGCCAACTTTCGCGTTCAGGTCACCCATTAGAATGACTATGTCGCTTTTGTGAATTCCAAGCAGTGTGGCTGTGAGTTTGTCGTAGAAGTCGTCTTTCTTTTCGTCCTCGGCTTCTTCTGTTGGCGCATAGCATTGTATGACAGTGATGTGTCGGACTTTAGTGCGGAAACGAGCCTGGATAATCCGATCGGAGATTGGATCCCATTTTTCCAAAGCCGCCTTGAGTTTTCTGCTGATGATTATGCCCACACCACTCTCACCTCCCTTATCTTTCCCACTATATACCAGGGTGTTGCCATTTGCCGTGATCGACTCGCCGTGACCATTCCACCTCATTTCACTAATACCCAGGATGTCAATTTTGTAGAGATTCATTTGTTGTTCTAGTTGTGCAAGCCTTGATGCTTCACGGAGGGTACGGACGTTCCATTGTGCTATTCTTGTCCTTATATGCGTTCTGATGTTCATTACCGTGAGATCGTTCTTATTTCCGAGGCTATGTCCAGTTTTGCGTTTAATCTATTTTGTACTGTCTAAGCAGGTGATTGGCCTACTGTAGAAGACCATTTTTTCGTCGTGGTAAGACGTCGCCAGTTTTTTCCGCCAGATGTCGCTGCGGCTATACCCATCCCTGACGTTCAGATGTTGACGTTGACGTGGTGTTGTATGTCAGATGTCAGTGTCATTTATTTTACATATGTTTTATTGTATTATTATATTACATATTTAGATAGGTTATATTTTGTATTATTTATTTGTTGCTGCTTACATATTGGATATAGAATTATAGGTAATTATTTTTATATTAATTTTATACTGATATTAGATATTATTTTTTAGCTATATTGGTACCGCTGTGGCGATAGAATGCATCATATAATTAATGCGGCACCCGTGGGATTTGAACCCACGCTCCCCCGGTTGGTTACATATCTACAATCTAGTGTTTTACCACTAGGCTACCGGGGCCACGTTTTTATATGTTACTGAATTCAAATTAAGTATATGGTTGTAAGCAAATAAATAAATTATAAATGTTAAGAAAACAAAACCAAGGATCAAATTTAAAATTTAATTAATTCTGATTCCCTAAAGCACGTATTTAAAACATCTTTCAGGTGCGCGGAAATGGTAAATGTTTTTCAATTTTCAATTTTATTTGTACATATTTTTTACGAATGTTGTGAACCATGTTGGAATATGTAATTTTCTTTTATATAAAGTTTAATAATCATCGAATTTGATATTTAATTCTGATCATACTGCTAAAATCTTTTAAAAATGTTTTTAAGATCGCATATCTTTAAAATATATTATGTATTTCTGATTTTCGAAATATTATCTTTCTTAAGGAGCCTTTCTATTATGAATAACCGATAATAACCAAGATAATAATAAAACATAAAACTATACGAATTTCTGTTTGAATTTTCAATTCTTTATTCTATTTTTTGGCATGAATACCACTAAAATATATTATGTATGCATGTATACATTAAATTTTTTATTTGCAATAACGTCGCACTTGTTTATTATTTCTAAATGTTCTGAAATCTTATTTGCTGTGAAATTAAATGACACATCATTTTAGAAAATTTAGCAATAACAATACGCATTTAAAGCATATTTTATTGAAAATAAAAATTTTACCACCCCACATCATAATATAATAAAATACGCACACATGTACGTATATTTTCTGAAAAGGGAATTACCACACAGAAAAAAGAAGGCACATAGGAGTTTAAAAATACTTAATGACATTTTGATGAAAATTTCTTAATTCTAAAGTTTTAAAAGTGTTAATCGTAAATTTCTAAATATTAATTTTTGAATGTATCATGACAAATTTTGTAGTTTATGTAATTTATGTATTATGAATTGAATTGCAAAAGCAACCATCTTTTTTCAATAGTTTTTAATGTAGTAACTCCTGCATATATAAATTAATAGAAGTTTATAGATTCACATTTACGGTTCTTATTTATACAACAAGCAATCGACGAATCGAGCTGAAGTAATTGTTTAAGTTTGTTCTTGTTTAAGTTAGGTATATTTATTTTATAAACAATTGTGTACAAGAAATACAACTTGGTAATTAAAAATAAATGTTATAGAACTTGCTAATTGTTCCGGTTCTTGAAAAAAAATTTTTTGATTTTTTGAAAACTTCCTTCTAATTATTTATAATGTACCGTCTTAAACCTATAATGTACCGTTTTAAACCAATTTGGAATGTAACTTAACATCTTTTTGATAGATACCTATTTCTGTATATAAAAAAAAACATATTCAAAAAGTTGTATATGACTGAGTTGATTGATATTAAAAAAGTACAAAAATACTTTACTGAAAACTTCTGAGACCAACTCTAAAAAATTTTCGGGCTAATGAATATAAAATTCATGTTGAAAAATGATACATAGAATTTATGCGTCTTTTGTGTATTTGCTTGTACTAAAAATGTTAGGTTAATAATTCACCCGAATGTGACATTCTGTTACCAAACCAATTCTTTTACTAAACGCTATTTTCATATCACTTTATCGTGATACTCAAACTGTTATTCTAGCAAATAGCTGTATGGTCTTACTCTTTATAAAATTAAATTAAATACTCCCATATTCATAATGATTTGGAAATTCACCTCAAAATTTATGGTTTACTAAAAATGATCCTGGATTAGAAAAATTTATCGCGTTATATTATATTCTTTAATATAATTTATTTTTGTAAATTATAATTTCTAAACTATTAAAGTACAAATTAAATGTGTATATGGAAAAGACTAACTAAAAAACTGTGTACATGGCAAGTCTTACATTTGAATTAAAAAAAAAATAAAATAATACAAATATAAATGACGGTATATCTGCAATAAAATATTGTTGTGTCCAATGTAATAAAATAGTGTACGGAAAAGTAAATATGTGTATAAATATTTCTTAAATATTTGCAGATCGTTCAAAATTTTTCTATTTCTTTTGCTCCCTTAAATTCTTTTACACATATTTTCTTCAATGGGGGTTGGATGCTACTAACACATATATCTATAGATCTATTTTTATGAATTCCTCATTTTTAGCACTTTTCCAAAATATTTTTGGAAAAAAGTGCTTATTAGTTTCACTCGGTCCGCCGATCCGTCCATTTTCATTTTTACAAAACTTATATACCCTTGAATAGAAAGCTGAAATTTCGTATATACATAGATCTCTACTAGTAACTTATTTCCGTAAAAGAAAATTTTTATCCCCCCTCTAAAAGTCCCTTAAAACTCGAAAAATTCCATTTTTCAACTACTTGTTGTAGCGAAATCATAGGCATTTTTCAAATATTGAAAATGCAGGCAGGTAGTGACTGACTTCTTCAACTTTAGTGGAACCTTAAAGAAACAAAGTGGCCGTTAAAATTTACCGTTATCTAAAATTAGTTTTTCCCAGATTTTTGATATGGTTTTTCTTCTCGGCCTTAGGTTATAGCAGCCTGAAATTTTTGCAGCTTTTAGATATTGACAAATAGTTTACTTTGTTTGAAGAAAATTTTTTTCCACCTCTTCTTAAGTTATCGCCTCTATATATTTGTAAAAGTTGGATATTTGACACCTTGAATTTCCGAAATTGCAAGCTTTTCCGATTTTCTAAAAAAGCAGAAAGATAACGGTAAATTCAGTGTCATTAATAATATAATATATTTATTTTTCTTAATTCACGCAATTAACCCTTAAATTCGAGCATTATTTTAAGACCTCTTTAATTTTTTATGTTTTATTTCAAAGATTGCATGCATTTCTCATCCTAAATATATAAAATCTTTGAAATATATTCGTATATGAATGAAACTAATTTTAACAGTGTAGTACATAGCTAGACTGTTCGTAAAAGCATTATTTACACTTGTTGAAGGGAAAAGTGCTAAATTACAAACCATTGGTTTGACCCAAGTTTATTTTTGTCCTTTTAAGAAGAAATATGTGAGTTTATATAAAATCTTATAGACAACGATTACGTAATGTAATATTTCTTACTCTTTATCTAGCATGAAACATACACAACATAAATAAAAAATTATTTTGCGGTTTTTTATTTATCTTGCCATTTTCATATTTCTTTTATATGATTTTTTTTGAAAATAAAACAAAAATAAAATCTATAAGTCACGTTCCATCCAAGAAAGGGACTTTATTGCAATCAAAATAGCGGCGATTTTCATTAGAAAAATGTTATTAGATTACTTCTTAAAAACAAAAACAAAAAGACTTAAAAATATAAAACAAAAAGAATAATACGAAGAAATTATTAAAACAAAAACAACAACATAATTAATTGAAATTCATTCATCTAAGATACTCGGTAGCCCTTAGAAGTGTTTTTCATCATTTATTTTATTGTGTCCTTTTTGCTTTGAAGGAGATTAAATAAAAAGCATTTTCGAAGCAAATTATGAAATTATTTCCTCGTTTATTGAGTTCCTGTTTTTACACAATTAATTCACAATAAAATTCAAAAGTTGGGAAGATTTCCTTTACACTTAAAGTATAAAAATACCCAAAAAGTATATAATATTCGATGAATATATATTATAAATGCGAAATATTTCACATTATATACATATAAAGAAAAAATAGCAATGGAATTTTGTAAATAAGAAACTACAAATTTTTTTGATGATAATTGCAAGTATTTGAAGGTCTGACAACA